AAGATGAAAGCTCTCTTAGAACCTTGAGGTGTAATACAGTCTATTTTTTCAGATTTGAAGACACTGCGAATATTAGCAAAGCCACCACACTAGAGAGGCTCTGATGGAGAGAAGGTGAGAAAGGATGCTGGGACAGGGATGCCTTCAAGAGGGCTGAGGCAGAATGAGGCAGCTGCACTGTAAAATATTCAGAATATTCTGCCACCTTCACTCTCATTGAAGACTAGCTGCATGATGAAGGTTGATCACATCTATAAATCCCAGGCCTCAGATGATGACTGTAATGTTCCTCATAGTGGTGAAGACAGGACTAGTGGCCTTCAAGTCGCTTTGTAGCCCAGGCTGGCATCAAATTTGCAGCAGTCCTCACCTCCCAAGTGCTGGAATTACAGACGTATGCCATTGTACCTGGCAAGTTTTGGTTTTTTATTTTGCTTTGTTTGAGACAGGTTCTCATAATTAAGGATGGCCTTTAACTCATACAGATTCTCCTCCCGCAGCCTCATGAGAGCAGGGATTACAGGCATGCGCCACTATTCCTGGTTCTAAATTTTTAATGAAAAATAAAATAAATATAATCCCAAGTTAGCATAAAGAATGAGACCCAAGAGTGGGACAGGCAAGAAGAAAATCACTCACATCTCTCTACTATATCAAAATGGCATTGCCAGGGGCTGGGGATTTAGTTCAGCAGCATAAGTGCCTGCCTTGCAAGCCGGCAGTCGTGAGTTCGATCCCGGGTACTGATAAAAAAGAAAAAGACCAAAAAAAAAAAAAAAAAAAAAAAATGGCATTGCCTTGTCTATTGGTTCTGTAGCTCTCAAGGGTTTCTCAGTAACTGGCTAAGTTTAGAGCTCATCTCTCACTGCCTGGCCTGAAGTCTCCACTGAGACAAACTGTACCTATTAAGAGTTTACTGCTGGGCATGGCGGTGCATGTCCACAGTACCTGCACTCAAGAGGCTGAGGCAGGAGGATTGGTACAAGTTCAGGCCAGGCGGACCCTGTCTCCAAAAAAGGCTAAGGGAGGTAACACTATTTTTCTCCATTTCATGGATAAGGAGTGGAACTTAGCAAGTTCTTTGCCCAAGGCCACAGAGCAAGTGAAAAGGTGAAACTGCATTAAATTATGCAAGGTCCTTCCTTAGGCAATTGCTTGAAGAAGGATGAAGAGCTACATCCTAGCAGAGGCAGATACCATGGGGTTAGGCAACCATGACTTTCCCTGGGTTCCTTTCGAGCATGCTGCTTGCAGTTTCCACCTCTGGAATACCCTGATTCTGGTGGTTCTGTGATATGGGGGAGGGAGGAGCACCCACTTTCAGGGTTGCATCCTAGCCCTGCTCAGATGGCACTGTCACTCTGGCCAGCACTTGCCATTTTGACTGGCTTTGGCATCTGTGTGATCGCCACTGACTCCATACTATCTCCAGTCCTTAACTGCTAGCTGAAGAGCCCAGAGTCTGCAGAGCCCACAGAATACCGCAGGGATTAATCTAATTCATCCCGAACCAATGAAACCCAATTAGAGAGCTCACACAAATGCACCAACTTCAGCCACACATGGCAGGATGACACAGACAAAATCCTGGAACAAGGGGAAGAAGAGAGCCATTTCCTACATCAGGCCTTCAAAGGGGCTCACGAATTAGATTAATTCATAGACTCATCACACTAACTCAGCAAGTTTATACCCAGAAAAGCACAGAGAAGCCAGGAGACCTGCAGAAAATGCAATAATGGCAAAGGGAACAGGATGGAAATCTCAAGCTCTGTGGCCCACTCCAAAACTTATCCTTAGATAATGTTCTGCAGTGAGTGATACAACCAGGTTTGTATTTTCACAGACCCGTGCAGTGGCAAAATAATTGATAGAACACAGTGGACCAAAAATGGAGAAAAAAAACAGGCTGAGAAATGCTTCAATCGAGCCAAGAGGAAAAAACCTAGGTTAGTCCTTGGGATTGAAAAGGAAAGGATAAACATGGGAATAAATCAGATATAGGTAAAACTCAAAAGCATCTCAAATACTATCACTATTTTATGTGAAAAGCACCATCTTTTGATATCTCTCTCTCTCTCTCTCTCTCTCTCTCTCTCTCCCTGGAGTTTCTTTTCTTTTCTTTTCCTTTGGGTACCAAGGATCGAACTCTTGATCTTACACTTGCCAGCCAGTCGCTTATGCCACTGAGCTAAATCCTCAGCCTGTGGTTTATTTTCTTTTGTTCTTACTGCATTGTTATCATCTCCTAAATATTTAAATAGGTTCTTCATGGAGGCAAATTGCATGTATTTAAAACATATAGATAAAAAATACTTTTCACAAATGAGCATGCCAGGGCTGGGGATTTAGCTCAGTGGCATAAGCGCCTGCTTTGCAAGCAGGTAGTCGTGAGTTCGATCCCTGGTACCGATAAAAACGAAAAAGACAAAAAAAAAAAAAAAAAAAAAAAAAATCAACAAATGAGCATGCCAATATAAACAAGCCAACCAGGAACTAAACTGTGCCAACAACCAGAAGTCTCCCTCCTGCTCCTCTTCCCCATGTAACATTCATCTACCTATCCCCAAAGAAAGCCAATTCCAAATGCTACAGATCACTTTTTAATAGTTTTTTGCTTTCTACAAACAGAACCCAAAATCTATGAGTTTATGCAGTCTTCTGCAGCTCAATTTTATGTGTGACCTACACATAGCCAGCTATTTGTGACTCATGCTCACTGCTGAGTGGCCCACTACCTTATCAAGATACCTGTGAATTAAAAAAAAAAAAAAAAAAAAAAATCACTCCAGGCATGGTGATGCATGCCTATAATCCCAGGACTCAGAAGGCTCAAGTAGGAGATTACTGTGAGTTCAGGGCCAGCCTGTACTGTAAAGCAAGACCCTGTCTCAAAAAACAGAAACAAACATTTGTATTTAGGACCTATGTTATTTCCAATTCCAAGTTGTTAAAAAAGAGTTTCTTTGAACATGCCCAATATTTGTATAAGCTCAACGAATGTACATGCCTTACATAATGATGTTCCCCTCTATGAAACAAATAATTTTATTTCTATTTTTTAGATAAGAAGAAGAGGGATTCATCAATTCCAGCGATGTGTTAGCAGAGGAGCTTGGTCTTACACTAAAGCCTTCAGGTTCCTTATACTGTTCCTTCCTTTCTCCCAACACAGTAATGAAAAAAGGGGCAGATACCTATACTTTTCACATCCAAGACATCAGCAGACAGGAGCAACAAAAGAGCCAAAACAGAGGGACTTGGAGAATGGTCCTCAGACCAGACTGAATCTTTCCACTCAAGCTTTCTCCCCCTAGCTGGAGTCACAAGAGCTGCCTGGCAGGAGATGGATAGAAGCTTTTTATTCTAATTTAAAAAGTAAAATACAAAGCAAGCATGATGGTACACACCTATAATCTCAGTTACTTGGGAGGATGAGGTAGAAGGATCAAAAATTTGAGGCCAGCCTCAGCAATTTAGTGAGACTTAGGCTAAAAATAAATTTTTTAAAGGGCTAGCTTCAAACTCATGGCAATCCTTCAGCCTTCCAAGTGCTGGGATTATAGTAATACACCACCATGCTCAGCAACACTTACGTAGTTCAATGGAATAGCTGAGCCAATAAACAAACAAACAAATAGTGATACTACTACAATTTCAGATAAACAAGCTGGGAAAATTGTAGAATTTCTTGGAAATTCATTACTTCTAAATTTCCCTTGAAATATATAATTTTTCAAATTTCTATACATTTCAGAAGAAACTTGCAAAAGATTCTTTCTGCAAGAAGAAATGAAATGAGAGTTTATATACTCCATACTACCACTAGTGTGGTTTCAACACAAAATAAACAGTGCTATTAGAACATACCTTCAACTAGTCAGGTATTTTGCCACACATCTGTAATCCTAGCACTTGAGAGTCTGAGGTAAGAAGATAGCAGTGAACTTAAGGCCAGCCTGGGCTACATAACAAAATCAAAGACAGCCTGAACTACATAAATATCTTTATCTGTGTATATATATATAGATATAATCTATATCTTTAACTATATATAGATATAGTTATAATCTATATCTTTAACTGCAATTAACAGGTAAAAAGAGGCAACATTTGCACCCAGTAGCAAAATCAAGTATCACTTTTTCATTCTTTTGTGTTTTCATCCTGCTGCAGCGATGGGGCACAAGAGGAGGGCAGAATGACAGCACCTTTTCTGTTCTGGACATAAATTCTCCCACTGACTTCCCTCAGAGGCTCCTTGCTTCATTACCCCTACTCATCCTGAGAGCATCAGAGCCTTCAACAGCTAGGTAATGTCAGGCTTGACTCGGGCATGGCATTCCCAGCACCCAACCTGTTTTTCAGCACCCACATTGTTCTCAGCAAAAACTGTAGCCCAGCACAGGTGCTGCATTTGGCAAACACAGGACAGGATGTCATAAAGAAGATATAAGGCTGAGCACATAATCTTCCTAGCACCAAGACATGTGATAACATCTATATATTCTTACCAGATGCTCTGAGAATTCTGACCACTGATGTTTGCTCAGACCTCCTCACATGATGTCCTTTGCCAGACCCCCTTAAGTGATACCTTGCCTGATCTCCGCATCCCCTTTTTCCAGCCCTCTAATAAAGCCGTATTTGTCTTTGCACTCTACAGATAGTCTTTTCGCCTTCCATCTGCCTGTACAGGTATATTAAATCTGGTGCCTCACTACCTTCACAGAAGCCTGTAAGATAGACTCTGACTCCCATTGTTTGTTACAGTTGACTTCCTCAAGGTAACTTGGGCAGCAAAGTAAAGAGACGAGACACAGGTATTCTTCCTTCCCCACAAGGTCCATAACTCTATGACACAACTTTTAAGGATCATATATCATTTTCCATATAATAGAATTCAACTGAACTACAACAATCCTTCTGTGTCAGAGACATAAGCACTGTGACTATGCAACAGAGCCCTTGATGAAACAGTGCAAAACCAAGATACTTACTTGGGGAACTCGTGGAGACTCGCTTCCTGGTCAAGCTCTCCTGGTTGGCCTTGTCAGAAGCTGAAGAGCCCCTTGTTTGGACATGCCTCTTCCCTGGGCTCTCCTCTGGCTCTGGCGACTTCTCCATTCCATGAAAATATTTCATGTGATAGTGCAGCAGTTTAGCTTTGCGAAAAAATTTTAAACAGTCCACAACCTTGCATCTAAATTTGTGGTCCAGGTCGACAGCTGGCACATTAGATGTCATAAAATCATCTGTTTTCTTAAAAGTATTTGGTACTGGGGAAAAAAAAAAAAAAAGCAAGATCCCTTGTGCTTATCCTAGTATTACAAAATATGCATTAGCGTACAGCAATGGAAAAATGAAAGAATGGCATGCATATGTAGCCAGAGACATCAAGTAGGCTGCCAATATTTCCCAAAATTATTGTATGGAAAGAATAAACACAACTTCAGGTAAATAACTATGATTCATTCATAAGACATCAGCATGTTTATTTTAACTAGCCTTCTCAGAATTTCACAGACTGGGAGAAGAACAAGGGAAAATTCTAAAGAAAATCAGGAATCTTAAACCAGCATTAGGGGTGGGAAGAGACTTGGGAACATCTCTAAGGGCTCTCTTTATGAAACCTAAGGGATTTTACAACAACAGTGTTTGCATAACTGTAGTACAATGTTCCAACAGTCTTAGTATTGAGCTTTGGAAAGCTTCACCATATACTTTGCTTTAGCATGTACTTTATTTGGTCAAAGGGACCCAGACATTGCAAGGAAAAACAAAAGAAAGCAACCAAGAGAATGGAGCTGGAGGACATGAGTAAAATTTGGAGGATGCAATGATCAAATTCAAAGAAACAAGTTGTTCTTCAAAAACCAAATAAACAGAAGGCAATAGTGTGTCATGCATCAGTAACAAAAAGTAAAGCCATCATAAGGTGTTCATGTGTGCCACACACTGCTCATTGAAGGCTTCCGTCCCAGCAATCTCACCCCAAAAAGAGCAGTCACCTGAAATTCAAGTCACTCCTCCTCTACAGACTGGGTCATCCAAGAGTATCCTTAATGGACCTTTCTTGGGTAAATAAAATTTTTCCTAAAAGCAATCATACATTTTCTATTAGAAATAAATAGCATGCTAAACTTCTGGTAAATGTTATGATAATTTTACCAAGTATCATTTCATAATCAGAAGAAATGTTTTTAAAAATTCCTTTTAACTTTATAAACTTTTTAGTTTTTTTTAACTTTTTGGCTCAGTTTAAAACAGAAACACACTGTACAAAAATCACTCCTGTGCAAAAAATTTTTCTGTTTAATATCCTTATTCTGCTTTCTGAGACAGACTTTCACTATGTACTCCAGGCTGGTCTTGAACTGCCAAGTGCTGGAATTACAGGGTGCATCACCATGCCTGGCTATATCCTTATTCTATAAGCTATTTTCTACTTTTGAAAACTTTTTTTGTTAAAGATAAAGGTATAAACACTTATCAGCATGGGCCTACACAGGATGAGGATCAGTATCACTGTCTTCTGTTCCAACATCTTGATGTACTGGAACAGTGCTGAAGAACCTATGGTCTGCATGCCGCAGCAAGTTGTGTCACTGAAAGCTCCAAAAGGTACACACCATCACTAAATTAGGTCTTCAATCCCCACTGAAAGGCTTGCCTGAGCCTCTTCTTAAGAGTTATCACCTTCCCCAGAAATAGATCCATGGTGGTTTGCTTGTTTTGTTTCTGTTTTCCATCACATATTGTTATATTTTCTATATATGTTCTTCTATGTTACCCTAAAGTTCATGTGTTAAAGGCTTCCCCAATGCATACACATTCAGAGATAGGGCCTTTGGGAAGTAACTGGGTCATGAAGGCTCTGACCTCATTAATAGATCCATCCATTTGATAGATCCATAACTTCATGGGCTTCTGGGAGGTGGTGAAAGTTTTAGGAGTACAGCCTAGTTGGAAGAAGTAATTTGTTGGGGTCATGCCTTAATAAATGGTGTGTTTTCTCTCCTTTTTTTCTTGTTCTCCTCCTCTTTCTTTCCGTCTTTATCCCTATCCCCACCACCATGAGAAGAGCGGCTCTGCTCTACCATACTCTCTACCACGATGTTCTACCTTGCCACAGACCCAAGCAATATGGCCATAAGCCAAGTCAGCCATGGTGGCACATGCCTGTAAGGTCAGAAGTTAAGAGGTAGAGGCAGAGGGATCACCACAAGTTTAAGGTCACCCTGGGCTACACAGTGAGTTCAAGGCCAGCCTGAACTGCATAGTAAGACACTGTCTCAAAACCAAAACAATAATTGCCAAAATACACCTTTCTTCCTCTAGTTTGATGTCTCTGTTATTTTGTCAAAGTGACAGTAAGCTGATTAATACAGATTCACTTACAAGCAGATAAAAGTAAAAGATTCCTAAATTCAATCAAATAGTACTCTACATTTCAAAATTAGACTGATGAACAAAGGATGCTGTTACATAAACAGTTCAAACATATAAAAAATTATATACACATATATACACTCCCCCCAAAAACACAATGGCTTAAAATCATTTTCTGCCAATAACAAGATATATAAAGCCTCTAAGGCTGGGGATATAGCTCAGTGGCAAAGGACTTTAATAGGGGGCTCCTAAATTAGCCATAGGTAAAAAATAAATAAATAAAGACATTAACATGAAGTGCAATGAAACACATACTTCTCAAACAAATAATTATATAGGAAAAGTATGCAGTAAAGAAAATTCATGTCCTAGTACATACATCCACACCCAACAATGAATACAAAATCATTATGTATTATAAACATGTATTAATAAAAATTATTTAAAACAATTTTCTAAAACCTTAAACTTCTAATACCATATATCCTAAAATTCTTACTTAAAAAGCAAATGATTCCTCTGAATGACCTCCTCTTGGGCCTACCATATACAATATAAAACTTCATACCCTCATAGGTTAGAAAGGTTAAATATTGTCCATTCCATATGGTTCAACCTTTTCTATATGGAAAATAGGTCTTCAAAAGTTACTGCAGACAATTTGATTTACAACTGCACAAAGTTAAGGTTCAAGGTCAAAGGTAAGGTTCAAAGTCACACTGCCTGTGAGTGAGGGCAGCAGTGGTTAAGCCCAGCTACAGAAAGCTCAGACAACACTGGACTTCTTAGAAGCCCTGATTTGTGATAAACTCGTTTACAATGCAAAAGTAGACTACCAAAGTACATTTTGGAATTTTAAAAGAAAATTTAAAGTTAAAAATGAGAAACTTGAACCAATTTCATAAACAATTATCATTCTAGAGGCTGGGGATTTAGCTCAGTGGCATAAGCGCCTGCCTGGCAAGTGTGAGGTCCTGAGTTCAATCCCCGTGCCAAAAAAAAAAAAGAAATTACCATTTATATTGGTTTATGTCGGTGGCCCCCAGGCCTCATGCATTTGCATTATGCACTTTTGACTGGTTCATTGTCTAGCGCTTGGATAAGGGATGTGTTACACTGGCCTAGGGGTGAAGCCAGGATGTGATGTAATGGCAGGAAGAAGGCGTGTCTTGCTCTTTTGCCAGTTTCTGCCTTGCTGTTTTTGCAGCCACCATGAACTGTGGCCCAGCCATGACACCCTGCCTTGGAGCCAACTGAGTATGGACTGAAACCTCCAAAAACTGCAAGAAATAAACCTTTCCTTTCCCAACTTTTGGCATCAGGTATTTTGTCTCAGCAACCAGTAAAAAATAACTAAGACACCATTCTATTTAAAAATTCTACAAAATTCTTCTATACAAACACAAGCCATCTCCACTATGCAAACAGCACAAAGGCTACAAGTGTGGGCTCTGCAGCTAAATGACGTGTTTCTATACCAGTTTCTCATTTTGCCTTAGTTTCTTCATGTGCAGGGTAGAAATAATACTGGTAACTATTTCACTGAGTTGTAAGCTTTAAATAAACTGCAATCAAGCATGATGTGACATGCTTGTAATCCCAGTTACTTGGGAAGCTGAGGCAGAAGGTTGAGGCAAAAGGCTCAGACATTCATAGGCCAGCCTGGGCAACTTGATCCTGTCGGGCAATGGAAGAGGGAGAGGAAGGGGGGTAAGGGAAGCAAAAGGAAGAGAGAGGAAAGAGAAAGGAGAGAGGGAGAAAGGAGAGGGGAGAGGGAGAGGGGAGAGGGAAAAGAAATTATATGTTAAAGAGCCTAGAAAAGTATAAGTGCTCTCAAATGCTGGCTAGCTAATATTACTATACAGTATCATTTTGAACAGAGAGCTTCCAAGGAAGCAATGTGCTCATAAGAAGAAAAGTCTCACAATTACAGGCCTTAGTGCATGCTAATGCCAGAAGTATACTGAATAAAGGAAGTAGCCCAACTTTCAACTCCAGTTCTACCCTTCATCAAAAACAAAAGTAAACTGTACAAATTAATTTGGTTACCTAGCTTCTTAACTATAAAAAGGAGAAATATCTGTTTCAAAGAGTTGGAGAAAGGCTATAGATAACATATGTATTTTGACAAAAAGCAGCTGACCCATAAGTGGAAACTATTATCATTTCTAGTACACATCTTTGGGCAAGCAGGCTTATGCTGTTTCTAGAATATGGCCAGGGACAGTCATTATAATTATCAACCAAGTGTGAACTATTTCTTCAACCATCCTTCAAGTGCCCTGGTGAGTAGTGGGAAGACATTACCCTTTAAAGTTCTAGGTTCTGTCTATACCTTCTAGAAATGTGAAGTCCAAAGTAATCCACAAGATTCTTAATATGGTGAACCACAATTCAGTGAAATTAATATTTCCACTGTTTAATACATCTTTATTAAGGTAGTCAAAGATTTTTTTTAAAATAGTCTCATTATATGATGCTGGATGGTACCAAGCTTAGTTTACCAAGACCTTGAACACTGCTTTGTCTTTTTAAAATATCAAGTGCATTTCACCTTCTCTCAAACAGTTCTGGGACTCTCAAATGGTTCCGGAATCTGTACGTTGGAATTACATTTATTCCTACTAACTTCCACCTCCATCTGATTATTTTAGTCTAAGATTCTTCCCTCCCGCTCCCTCCCCACCCTTTCTCTACTGGCTCTGTAGCCCACTGTCCTCAAACTCACTGTTTAGCCTCCCAAGTGCTGATATTACAGGCATGCACCCATGGCCAGCTTAAGAATTCTAACTCCTGGTTATATAAAACTATGTATAGCGCAGATGTTTATCCAAGTCATTGAAAATCATGACCAGCACCTGAGGACAGCCTTCAAAACAGCCTT